AATCAAACCATTCTCATATCCAATCTTACAGTCCCTCGTATTCGCTATTGACCAGGCAGGACGTTGCTTAACTTCGGTGATCGTACGAGGACAAGTGATTCAACAGGAAAAAGCCGTAAATCAAAACATCGTCACATCCGATCTAACAGCACCTCGTATTCTCAACAAGTCATCTCTCTTGATAATGACCACGCTTGATGTTGCTTAACTTCAGTGATCTTACTAGGACAGGTGTTTCAACGAGATATGGTCGTAAATCAAACCATCCTCACATCTAATTTTACAGCACCTTGTATTCGCAAGAAGTCATCCATTTAGGTATTGACCAGGCTCAACGTTGCTTAACTTCAGTGATCGTACAATGACAGTTGTTTCAACGAGATATGACCTTAAATCAAACCATCCCCACATCCAATCTTACAGCCGCTCGTATTCACAAGAAGTCATCCATTTAGGTATTGACCAAGCTCAACGTTGCTTAACTTCAGTGATCTTAAATGATACTTAACATGTTCAGTGTTTTATTTTCTTTAAATTAATTATAATCTTCTGAATAGTAAACAGTATCCCCTTTTTTTTTAATTTCTTGTAATCAAGGTCTGTTGGGAATCTTGTTAATCTTGTCTCAGCGTTGAATTTACCTGTAGGCTTAGATGGCTGAATCCTGGGACCTGAAAATCTAGGTACCTCCAGCCAAGGTGTAAAATATTTGTGTCTCAGTCACAGGTTACATATGCTCAGTAATTTTAAACACCCGTCATCATCCTCGACTTTACTCAAACTGTGTAATTTAACACGCTTCTATTTTCCTCTATTCATGAGAATGGGAGATTTGGAGAGGGGCTCACGAGTAGAATAGCCTAGGACCTCTCTTAATCTAAATCTAGTTAGTACCTTTTTAGATCTTACCCAGTGATTCAATTATTATAGGTACAGCAGTAGTTTGAAGGTACCACATCTTTAAGGTACCACAACTTTTCAGTTTCAGCTTAAATATCCTTGTTATTATTATTCATATTCTGTAACAGACTTTTTTTTTATCTGATGTTATTTCCATATCTACGAAGAGACATTTATTTATTATTATGCTTTATCACTTGGTATTAGTTTTTGAATACACCGGGTACATTTAATTATCTGTCAAGTTGCAACAAGGACCTCAGAAAGACAACACTTTCCTCAAAATAAGCACAGTGCCCGAAAGATCCGATATTTGGATGACTCCAAGCTGATATAACATCTCCAGCTGACCAAAGAAGTCACACAGTTTTAATGGGATGGCTGCCCCAATCACCAGTGGAATCACCTTAACATTCCCTTTCTTGCATCCCAAACAATCTTGTCAATTCAGAGTATCTTCCAAATCACCTTGTTTGTTTTATTTGTATCATTTGCTATGGCACTATCAATAATATGACAGTTCTTTCTGCCTCTTTATATATTTAAGTTTGGAAACGGCATGGAGAGAAATCTTCGAATGATATGAGAAGTAAACATTAATACGTTTTTTTTTTTTTGCAATTCTCAGATTTCAGGGTTCCTTTTGATATCCTTACTCGAGCTCCCAATACCAACAGGTTATGTTATTGTCTTGAGAGGCCACATTCAACCGATTTCTATGTCGAAGTCCTTGGATTTATTGTTATTATGCTTTGTCACACAGTGTAAGGTTTTGAATACACCGGGTACATTAAGTTATCTGTCCAGTCAAAACAGGGACCTCAGAAAAAACAACACTTTCTCCAAAATATGTACAGTGCCCGAAAGAGCGGATTTTCAGATGACTTCAAGTTGGTATGGCGTCTCCAGCTGGTCAAAGAAGTGACAGATTTAATGGTATTGTTCCCAATGCTCCAGTTACTACTGGAATCACCTTGACAATCACTTCCTGCATTCTAAACAATCTTGCTATCTCGACTTTCGAATCAGAGTAATTTATAATTTTCTCAATCACTTTGTTAGTTGTTGTTGTTGTTGTTGCTGTTGTTATTATTATTATTATTATTATTTCCTTTGATTTCTTTTGTGTACCCATTTCCTTCCGGGTCCCAATCAGGGACCTAAGGACAGATATGGCTTTATAACATTTTCCAATGATTACTTTTGAAAAAAAAAAACCCTAGGATAACACACATTTTACATTGATAAAGATCTTTGTAATGAGTGGGCTGTACTTGTGACTGCAATTTTTATATTTCTTTAAGGCATTGCTACCAGGAATCTCTTCTCTGAGTCTATCGGAACCTTTTTTTCAATCAATCTGAGGTCTCCAGTTGCAAAATGAAATTATTGATGTCTTCATGTGCCAAATTTTGGAGAATTCCACTTCAAGATCCTTGTATTTTGATGTTTTTTTTTGATTTTCAAATGTTCATTACAATCTACAGGGACTGCCATGTCAATAAGAAAGCATTATTATTATTATTATTATTATTATTATTATTATTATTATTATTATTATTTCCTTTGTTTTCTGTTGTATACTCATTTCCACACGTGTCTCATCTATAGACTTGTGAACGGAAATGTCCTTAGTCTCCCGTTGCAACATCATCATCATCATTATGATCACCATCATCATCATCATCGTTATTATTATTATTATTATTATTATTATTATTTCCTTTGTTTTCTGTTGTATACTCATTTCCACCTGGGTCTCATCTATAGACTTGTGAACGGAAATGTCCTCAGTCTTTAGTTGCAACATCATCATCATCATTATGATCACCATCATTATTATTATTATTATTATTATTATTGTTGTTGTTGTTGTTGATGATGTTGACATTATTACTAGTGTACCTGTGCCGTGAATATTATTTTCGTTTAATCCAAGTACAATTTTGTAATCTAAAATAGTTCGTTGTTAACGTTAATAATTGAACAGTGTACACTTTATAAATACCCCAAGAAAAGATATCAGTATAAATAAATAAATGCCTCATAAATGCCACATATTTACAACGAATTTAGAAAATTTTTCTCTTACTGCAAAAGTTTCCAAAGCACAAGATTTTTTGTCTCAACTTTGGAAGGTCTGAGTAATCCTTAACAGTCCGTAGATTCAATCTGTAATTTCAGACTCAAGGAAAGAACGGGATTGTTACACATAAAAAATTAAAAAAAAATAGTTAGAATTTAGTTGTTCTTGTGTCATCGTTGTTTGGGGCGGTCTCTTTATAGTTTGTCAGTGCGGTAGCATTATGTGCGTGGACGTGAATGGAGTCTTGTCTTCTGCGCGTTTCATATCAAAATTTTGCACACTGCCCCTCAAAAAAACACATATATATATAAGTAATTAATCGGAGGATTTGATAAATTTTATTAAATCATCGAGCCTGACAGAAACCTCTACAGAATGCACTGGACGGCCGTTTCGTCCTATATTTGGGACACATCAGTAGTGCGCATCCACTACCGAGAATTGAAACCCTGACAGTTAGGTTGTTAAGCTGACATCATACCAACTGTCCCAAGTGGGATTCGGTGACGAAGAGATTCCAAATCAGACTCAACAAAGCGCCGCTCGCTCACATATTCCGTGGCGGAACTCGACTGAGATTCGCTGTTACCATAGGACTGTGCCCCCTGGAGCCACGACTAATATCACCAAGCCGCTACCTACTGTAGCATTAGAAGCCGGTTCAAGCGATGATAAAGACAATTAGTAATTAATCGGAGGATTTGATAAATTTAATTAATTCATCGAGTCTGACAGAAACCTCTACAGAATATATATATATATATATATATAAAAACTAAAGAGGCAGGTAAAGCTAGGTAGGTTTACCTGGCTCTTTAGGTTTATTTTAGGTTTGCTCTACTTCGTGTATTGAGCAGTTTATTTAGTTACTTTTTGGTTATTTAGTTACTCGATTTGGTGGTTTATTTCTTTGGAATCTGAGCTTGAATTCTGGACGATTGTTTTCGCCTCAATTTCATGTTCTTATTTCTTTCTTTTTTTATTCCTCATTTTTCCTTGGGTAGGTACTAGTTTGTTCAACTACAAGCCGAAATACCCAAGGTTTTTCCAAGCGAGTACCACTATATATATATATATATATATATATATATATATATATATATATGCAGTCTCTCTCTCACAGACGTGATGTCGCCTCCCTTTGTCTTTTTTACATGGTAACTGCTCTGATGAGCTGCTTTCGCTGGTTCCCAGACTTCATGAATTTAAGCGTTCAACTAGGCTGGCATCTCGCTGTCACTCTTTCACTGTCGAAATTGTTAAATGTAGCCGTCTCTTCTACTCCAATAGCTTCATGTCTCGCACTTCTCCCCTGTGGAACTTCCTCCCCTTTTCTTGTTTCCCTGATAGCTATAATCTCCAACTATTCAAATGTAATGTCAATCGACGTCTCCAGATGCCTTGATCTATCCCCTTATCCTTCTCTTCATCCTTTCCTCTATCACTCCTATTTGCTCTCGCTCCAACTCTCTGTAACCCCTTGCGTGCTAGTGGCTTCCCGCCTTGCTTGGGGTGAAACGCTTATATATATATATATATATATATATATATATATATATATAAATTACCAAGAGGATAGAATCCAGGTAGAACTCAATATTCAGGACAGAGTAAGAATATAATATAAAAACTTAAACACTAATATTCCATGGTTATAATTTATTATATTGGAATCGTAATCACGATCCAATATAATAAATTATAACCATGGAATATTAGTGTTTGAGCTTTTTATATATATATATATATATATATATATATATTATTATTATTATTATTATTATTATTATTATTATATTATATTATAATAATAATAATAATCGACTCTCCCGTCGAGTTTCGACGTATGAGAGTCAAACAGATCAGTTTCCAGGAAACCGACAGCCCGACACCGGCACATGATATTTGATTATAGTGGTGAAGGCCTCGTGCAGGACCATCCACACTTTTTGAAGGGACGAATACAGAGACCTGGTGCACTGAATGCCACAAGGTTCCCAAACGACCCTCCGCA